GAAGACGTGTGCAGAGCGGCCATTTGGGCTACTCCGTGTACCTTCACCAGACATTATAGACTCGATGTCCGTGCCAGACAGGATTGCTCTTTTGGCAGAGCTGTTCTTTCTTCTGTCCTTCATTGATGACACCGCCCTCCTCCATTTCGGGTAAGCTTGCTATTCTACCCATATGTGTGATGCACAGAGGCCACGACGAAGAAGAACAGGTTGCTTACCTGTAACTGATGTTCTTCGAGTGGCCATCTGTGCAGTCACACAACCCACCCTCCGACCCCGCTTGGTGTCATGGGTGGTCCGACTATTTTCTGCGATACTATGATATCTTTTTCCCTATGTGTCGTACCACTACTAAATTTGGATTTCTTGTCATTCTGACAAACCTTTTATTATACAACAAACGCCGGTCTTTCAAAGACTGGAAAATGACAGACACTCCGCTCCTTATATAATGCTAGGGGGGAGGGGGAGCAGAGTTCCCGCCAAAAACCGTTAGCTGTTAATCTTCCGGCCAAAGGCACTGCGCAGGCGCAGAACCCATATGTGTGATGCACAGATGGCCACTCGAAGAACATCAGTTACAGGTAAGCAACCTGTTCTTCTTTTTTTCAGGCTGCAAGCATGTATGAAAGTGGTTTATACAATGCAACATGACATTTATCTGTGGCATGTGGCAGACCAAATCAGAGTTTGGATTATACCAATATTAAACATGTCAAAACACAAGCAGCAGTTAACTAGACGTGTGTGAGGTATTATAAGGTTGATTGCAAGGATCATACAGAGGATTTGTATTGCATACAGTAGTCACTGGAGGAAAAGTATTTACTTCTATTTTTTTCTATAATTTATTTCATCATCCTTCTTGTAACTAGCAATAAGTTTGATGTTTTGCTGACTAGCCTTTTGAGTTGTCATATTTTATATTAATATCGAAACCCTTAAAGCTTATAAAGCAGTGCTACTATTTCACCAATGTTAATTTTCAACCATTTAAAATATCTCAGTAAAGTTCATTCAGTGCATTGCATAGCGGTACAGGCATAACTTTAAACATGCTTTCATCTTTTCTCTGTTTAATAATCAATACATTAAGCTAGGGCCTTCCTAATCTCAACTGTGCTATCAAAGTATTTATAAAATTTTCAGCATAAAATAAAATAAAATAATTAAATTTAATTTATATTAAAATGCACCCCACTGTTAACCATTGGGAGTTACTCAGTGGCTGTGAAATAAAAAGAATATTGTAAAAATGGCAGAAGAGTAAGAATGTGAAAATGAATGTGATACTTCACAGCTGCAAAGACTATAGTATCTATTCTTCATTTTTCTATGTTGTTATATAAGAGATAAACAAGATGAATTTAGTTTTGGGGAGAGATTTCTTAAATTCCTTTATACAGTTTTGGAAATTATAGATATTTTGGCATAATGTTCTAGGCTTTGCATCATACATCTTTGTAAGCTTTGCATGTAAAGCAGTGTAGGACTGATGCACAAGTGATGGCTAGCCATGCATTTTCTCCATAAAGTCACACAGGGACAATTTTTAAAAAAACTTATATTTAAACAGGGTGGGTATAAGGATATAAGTCAGCAACCATTTCTTCCTTCTTCTTAATTACATTTTATCCAGATATCCTTGAAACAATCCTGCTAGGTTGGTTAGGCTTGACATGTGATCATCCAACACATTTCACATCCATGAGCTTCATGGCCGAGAGGAGACATGAACCTCGTTCTGATCCAGCACACTTAACTGTATCACATTTCCAGCCATTAGGGCCAGTGCCTCTCTTGGCACACATCCCTTGCTTCCAGATAAGGCCAACACTTTAAAACCAGTGCAAGCAGAAGGTAGATCTCCAGATATTTTGGACTATGTCTGACATTCTTCCTAACTGTTGGCCATACTGGCAAGGATTTTGACAGTTGTATCTGGAGATTTATCTTTGCCCTACCCTGTCCACTCATTTTGTCCTACTCAGAAATTCCTGCCTTCTTCTACTTCTCCCATCCCTATGAACATACGAGAGATAGGTTGCTAGCCCTGCCATCCACCATTATAACAGGAATGGTTACTGGCTGCCAAAGAGCACATATGGTGTCATTTGTCCATTTTTCCATGTCCCTAAATATGTGACATAGATTATTTGAAAAAAATAACGTGAAGCTTCCCCTTGGTTAATGCTGAATATATCTGAATATTTAGAGGGATGTTTTTTAAACACTGTTCTTTGCATACAACTATTCTGGCCATCCTTTGAGGGAAAGACTAAAGCAGGGGCATTGGACCGAAACTCCATCAGCAGCAAAGAGCATGGTCAGTGGTTAGGAATAATAGAAGTTGTAGTTAAACCACATCTGGAGGGTCACAGGCTGAAGCATCTAGAGCTTCTTAGTTTCAAACATACAGGCTTATAAACAATGTTGGATGTGGACAACAACGGCCTTCATTACATTAGGACTGGTCAGTAGGCTCAGCATAGAAAAGAGTACTTCATTAGACAATGTACAATTTAACTTACGGAATTAACTACCGCAAGAATGTGATCTCACACACACACACACACACACACACACGCATACATGTGCATTAGAGCAACCCTCCTGGGTTCTACCTGTGAACCAGAACTGTTGGGTTAATAAGTAAACATTTTAGAATAGCAAGAGGAAAGGGAAGTAAATCCATGCCAATTTCCCACTGCCCTTCTTCAGTCACAATTTACTGAGGTTATATAAATTTCACAATAAAGAGTGACTTTTAAAATAGGTCAGCTTGGGTAACTTGGAGGTTTGAAGCTGTGAAACTCTGCCTCTCTGCATTTCTTCTATTAAAGTGTCTGTTACAAATGGCATTGCATATAAAAATCCATGAGCCTTACACTTTTAAAGTATAGATGTAGTTTATAAAGCTAGTCTAGTATAACTCTTAATTGCATCCTGTGAATGGCAGGTAGTATTCATGACAACTTACCTGAAAAATGGAAATAAAAGAGTTTGCTTCTGAAGTCATGCATTAAAACTGAAACACTTATTCTGATTTAATGTTGTAAGCAAATTTATGTTATTTTTTATTCAAAGAAAAGTAACAAAGGCAAAATTTGACAGGCTTATTAAACAAAAGTATACCTGGCTTTCTGTGTAGCTAAGTAGGTCATATTTAGTAGAATATAGAATTATATTTCTGTGCTAGCACATAAAAACACAGCAGGATCAGCCAGATGTGCAGAAGACTTCCATCTTTTCAGGACCTGCATAATAAACATGTGGCAAACATCACAATGAAACTTTCTATATGATTACTATTCTTATGCAAGAATCCTTCTAAATTCACAGTGCGTTTTGACTGACTCATTAAAGCTGTGTGAAATATGGGCAGGCTACACTGTTCAACCATCGTACTGGGGGACATCGTTCACACCCCCTTAAGCTTTTCCTCAGACTGGCCGCTGGACCTAACATCATATCCTCCCAAAGAAGCCAGTCCAGTAGTATAGGAAGAGTTTGTTTAAAAGGAAAAGTAACAGAAGAATAAAAGGGAAGTACAAAATAGGATAAGGGAACAAAACAAAAAGCAGAAGGATAAAACTTAACCCTGCATATGAGGACTTTTAAGGACATTACCTTGACAGAAAATAACAACCGCTAACCCCACTCTACATTACTTAAGCAATGAATCTCCCAAGAGCAACAGTCCAGAAAAATTGGTTAGTAAAACACCCCTGGTCACTTCCCAGTTCAGAGAGAGACAAAAGCTCATTCATTGCCCTCTTGCTTTAATCCCTGGCCTTGCAATAGGTGATAGCCAGCCACCAATCCTGGGCTTCCCCACCATTTCTCAGGGTATCTCTCACCTAAGTTCCAGTCCAGCAGTCATCCACCAAAAGCCCATAACAAAACATATTCAGTTGTTCTACTGATAAGTCAGTGGAGTAAATCATCTGTAGTTCCAACTCATCTCATTAATCAAGGGAGGAGAGGTGAGAAGAGACAAAAAACATTTAAAAAAACCCCACTGACCATCTCCATTAAACCTTGAGTTTCTTGGACCTTGTCTACACAGACTTGGCAAGTATGCAGGTACCCAAATTATGATTGGTGTGGAAAAAATGTGCCTACTGTATAGAATTCGTATATGATGTCTGCCTTGTTGACCCTAAGAAAAGCAAGAGTGATTCTGGTATGTGCTGCAGCAATTTGTAAAAGTCTGATTTCAACTTCATTCTGCCTAGTCTCTGTTGGGAATGCCACATGATCTCCTCCATCATCCTTTTCCTAGGGATGTAGGGCAATTTCATTCAATTTGCATGTTAAAAAAGAAATTATCCAATTTATACATCCTGGTTCAATCTGCAAACTGGAATAACATCTTGAGATGCATTTTTCTAAACAATGTATACAACATGCATATAAGTGGGAAGGCGGGAAAATATTTCCAACAATCATTGTATTAAAATTGTGCACAAATATGTATATGTTAAATATTGGAAAAATGTAAATGAAATGCAAACTGTTGTAGAGACAGGCTGTTGCCTTCAGTACGGTAGGCAGGTTCACACATTAAGCTAACACCACTCTGAATAACCCACTTGCAAAATTTCACTATTTTCTGTTGCACATTCCTATTCTGTAATTGGGAGTAACTTTTAAATAGAAAATGATGCCCATTTATTGGAAATAACAGCTTCAGCAGTGTACATTAATGGTAAATGGTGTAACTTTTATACTGGTTATGTGTACATTGGTATTGTATAGCATTGTCTTTATCCACACATACTTGTATTACAAATCTGTACATTTTTATATTGTCTATATTGCAGTGTGGCAATAGTCTTTTTCATTTGTAAGGGAAATACTGAATGCTTCAGTGTGTGTTATTTTTCTCTCATCCCTGAGAAGGAGGGAGCAATTTTTTCATATGCTATCAATGTGAAATATTTCCTATTAACTCAAATGGTCTACATAATGATGCTCTGTGTATTCTTCTCTAACAGGGGCATTGAGTGGACAAGCTTGACCAGCTTCCTTTCCTTTGCCACATCAACACCCAATAATCTGGGACTAGTAAGAAATGAGCTGCAGTTGGTCGATCTCCCCACAGGTATATTGTGCAACATAACTGTTGATGGCAACAGTTATTGATTGCTTAACCTTTTTAGAGTGTGTGTGTGTGTGTGTGTGTGTGTGTGTGTGTGTGTGTATGGTATACCCACCAAAATTGTATGCAACAATAAAAATCATAAGACTATAAAATAACATCAGAATATTAAGAACAGTACAGATAAGACACAATAATTTAATTTGGACTTGCATGGAATCTCTTGTATTAGTTTAAGCCCCTTTGAATGGCAGGTGTGGAATAAGTAAGCAAGTTACTTATTAACTTGTTGAAATTGGAATTCAAAACATTTTAGATAATCCTAGAGCAGCACATTCATTTTATGGATCCTCTTCAGTATATGAGAAGAAATTGCCATTGTCAGCAAAAGATTGAACACTACTAGAATTGCATGCACTTTAAGTTCATCTGAGAATGCAAATAAATTCAACTGTAAGTTTAAAAATCCTGCTAACTCAGCCATTCTCAAACTTTTATAAAATGTTCTCAATCTAAACATTGCATTTTCCAAACTACTCATTTATACCTTGCTTCTAACCAGCTCTGCCTGAGCACACACATACATAGTAGTGTCCTCTCTTCTCTGTACAATTTGAAAATAATGACCTGTAGTAGTATGGAAGATGGTTCTACTGTTCCTTTTCCACATTCACAGTTTTTGATGCAATGATGGCAATTTCTTAGTTTAACCCGGGACTGCTGCAGCTGACTAAAGTCCTGTTCCTGGGTTGTTCTGTGATGTACTGATCAAGAAAGTGTGGGTCAACAATCCAGAATTAACCCAAGAACACCCAGTCGGCATTTCCTCTGGGTTGTTAGCCCAGAATTAACCTACAGCTTCAAGGTTTGGTAATTGAAAATGGAATTGATGAGCATGTGGCTTGTCATTTTGTTTACCTGCAGCAATTCCTTGGTTAAACAAACCAAGAATTGTTACCATTATATGCAACTGGATCACAAGGTCACAGTTTGAGAAACACTGTTTTGAGTGAGTACAAGCCCATTAATAATTAGATATGTATAAGTGTTTTCTACTTCTGTTGCTACTGTTAAATGCACCCAGTTTAAGAAATGCTTAGCTAAGCTGGAAGTTGAAGTGTTGCTCAGAAACAACTCTCTCGAAAATATACCATGCTCATTCTTATATGCATGATACTTTCTTTTGCTAGCCAGTTGGATTGAACAGAGTTGTGGCAATGCTTGGCTGTTTGGTACCTTTGTCTTTATTTTTTCTTAGGAATTGAGCAGAATATGTTTCCTGGGAAGAAGCTTCATAGTTTATTTTAATTCTCACAGCATGTTGAATGTATTTGTCAATTTCAACAAGCATATCCAGATAAATTCAGGCTCAAAATGTTCTTGGTTTATAACTATGGGATATAATGAAATAATGTTTCCTAAATAAATTGCAAATATTAATTGGAGATCCAGTTTTTCTCCATGTGTAGTTTGCTACTTCTGCTTCCTGTGATATCCCCACAAAATAAAGAAATCTTCTGTCAAAAGGGAAAATGGATTTTACTAACTCCTAATGATAACAATAAAATAAGGACTGCAGGTGGCACAGTGGTTTAAACCGCTGTGCTGCTGGGCTGGTTGATCGAAAGGTTGCCAGTTCGAATCTGTACAATGGGGTGAGTTCCCGTTGCTCTGTCCCAGCTTCTGCCAACGTTGCAGTTCGAAAGCATGCAAATGCAAGTAGATAAAAAGGTACCACTTCGGTGGGCAGGTAACAGCGTTCCGTGCACTTCCGTGTTTAGTCATGCTGGCCACATGACCACAGAGACTGTCCGTGGACAAACGCTGGCTCCCTCAGCTAGGAAACGGAGATGAGCACCACCCCCTAGAGCCAGGCATGACTGGACTTAATGTCAAGGGAAAACCTTTACTTTTACCTTTAATGTTAACAGAAACACCTCTTAAGTTTTTTAAAAATAGTTTCCAGACAATATTTTAAATGTACAAATTAATACTGTTTAATGTGGTCAGGAAAGAGTTACCAAAAATCAGCCACTGCCAAGTAAATCCATGTACTTTTGGGCATTGTGCAGGTATCAACATATGTAATATTGGGTATGAAGTGTGCAGCCCTCTGCAGGAGTTTCTGTTTCCAAAAATAGAGGAACTATATAGGAGGAAGCAAGCTAAACTATATAACTGAAATTCTGAGCTTGTGCATGAAAAAGGTGTATTGGAGACCTTTTCAAGATTCAGTTCTGATTAGTAAGCTGTGAAAACATTTTTCCAACACTGAAGTGTTTGTTAACTTCATATCCAAAAGGCTTGTGAATGCAGCTAAATACAGGTTGAAATTGGAGGTTGTGCTGTTGTGGAAAGCTGAAGGAAAAGAGCATAAATAATGAGAAGCCCTGGGGCCAAAGCTCTAGTAATGTCTTGTGTTCCGTGTCTGAGTGCAAGCCATATCCATAACACAGAAAGCAATTATAGTGTTTTATCATGGGCATCAGAGACTGAACAGGCAGCTTAGGGCTAAAAAGGCAAATGTGAGATGATCAGAGTGATTAAAGAAACAGTATCTGACAGGTCAGTTGCATTGGCTTGCTTGTGCTGACTTCCTTATCTTTTGTGTTTCTCCTGTATTCTAGGCAGAAGCATTGCATTTCGTGGGGAACGTGGCAGTGATGAACCAGCAATTGAAATGATAAAGGTGTCCCATTTGAAGTAAGCAGATCAGTCAGAAAAGCTGATACAGTCTCTTGTATTGAATTATACTAATATGCTTGTAGTAGGCCAGAATAATCAAGTACAAGCAGGACTTTTTGTAGAAAGACCATTCAGTAAACTTAACTGAAACTTCAAACAAACAATTTTTAATGTTCATATAAAGAACTTGTAGTCTGTTTTCCAATCAAATATATGGAGTATTGCACTTGTAGATAAGGGAAGGGAGTTATCACTGTAATATAATACCAGTCATTTTGGTTCCCATTTCTCTCAGAGCCAGAGCCAGCTAATAACTCAATTCAGGGCTGGAATTACGCATTACAGTTGATGCAGCAATCTTATTTCTCCTCTTTCGTATATTAATCATAGCTTTATGTAAGCTGTGGCTCCAGTTTTATTGCTTTCCCAGCTGCCAGTTAAACACACAAAGATCTGTAAAGGGCTCTGTAAGCATGTTTGGCTGAATGCACTTACAGAGATCCCATGAAAGTGAATCCTGCCTAATCAGGTTTGGGACATTTAAGGGGAGGGGGGCAGAATGGTAGTTATTAGAGGGTGGCTGCTGAAAGGAATTTTAAACCAGAATGTTTGTAAAAAGAAAACAACTGCTGATCAGCTTCCGATGCCAATGGTAAGTCATCCCAAAGCCCATTTTCCTGTCAGTGAATGGTTCCTTCAAATGTATTGCTTGCAAATGCAGGGGGAGGGTGATGAAGTGTGCACATGAGCTTTTGCGGGATCTTTCAACCCCATTGTCCTGTGTTGTAACAAGATAATAAACAAATGAATACATCAGGGCTCCCAATGCAGGATGTCACATCTCTAAGCAAAATGCATCATATATCAAGTGTTTCAGGTTGCCCATCCCCAGAAGTGACATCCACTAAAGTGGAGAATAGGATGGGGTAAGACCAAACATTGTTCTATCACATTTCACATTTTGCCTTAGTGAAAGTTGACAGAAGAAGAATTGCAGCCAGTGCTCTGGTAATCCCCATGCATTATACATCTTCCATTCAGTTCTATAGCGCTTGAAGTGTGCTAGGAAATTCTGCATATTTCTAATATTTCTAATTTTTCCCAGGCAGTACTTGGCAGTTATATTTAAAGACAAACCCTTGGAGTTATGGGATATCAGAACATGTACTCTTCTAAGAGAAATGTCAAAAAGCTTCCCTACAATTACTGCTTTGGTAAGGAGTTCTCTCATTTTCTCCTTAGATTTGTAAATGGTAACAAATTCTTGTATAGTTTTAAATGTCACTATTTGCTTGTAGAATTATTTATGGAATTTATATCCTCTGATACTGAAACCTTTCCTTCATTTTTTTCTCCAATGTAAAAAGATGGGAATGGAATGGAATGGAACTCAGATACTTGCTTTGTTTTATAGCCTTATTTTCATGCAGTTAAATCTGTATGGAACTTTAGAGCTGATGAATAATCATTAGACATAAAAGGTTGTGACTTCTTTTCGGCCAGGAATGGTCACCTTCTCATAACTTAAAGAGCTTAAGAAAGAAGCAGCTTGCAACACGTGAAGCTATGGCCCGGCAAACTGTGGTATCAGATACAGAACAAAGCAGTTTGGAATCATCAGTGATCAGGTATCAGTACCATTCCAAATGACAATCCACACCAGTTTTTATTTTAAGTAGTTTGTTGCCAAAGATTACTTTCCATTAGTATTGCTGCTGGTAATTTTGGATGTATGGATTTAAATCCGGCGCATTTTGATATCCCATTGTTCCATGGGAGCCACAGAAGAAGTCACGGGCTCAGAATTGTCCAGCATTACTGTATTATATGAACTCTGTGTGTGCTGTATAAGAAAGAACTATAACAGCCTGATATATGAATATATCACTTGCTTAGAACAAGCACCAGTAAGCTTTTTCATATACAGTTCCTCTGATTATACATGCGTACCATACAGTTTATATGTCAAACCATCACTTGTTCTTTGTATCAAGTGAACCTAAGTTTTGTACGAAGAAACTTCAGAATCTGTCTTTGAAAAATTGAGTACTAACTTGAGTTAGAGTACTCAACAGGCTGCCACATCCAATGTGGCAGCCTGTACCCTTCCAAACTCAGAGGTTTACAGGCATCCAGTGGAGAGGGTACTAGATACCTAGTTTCAGTAGCTCCCTATTTGTACATAAGGTGTATTTATTCATTATAATGAATAATGAACCTCTTAAGTAAGCATGCACGAAGACTTCCTTTACAGTTTGTGCAGAAGTTTGAATTAGGGTGAGTGACTGTGCACTTTCTGGATTGTAGGTAAACTTATTTTAAAAAATAGAATTATGTCAATTTTAACCTAATTTGTACACCAGATTGTACACAACTCACCGTGAATGGGCAACATACAATATGGCAAGTTCTTTCATGTAAACTCCATGCAGACAGGAGGATTTCTCTGGCTTAGTTCAAATCAGGATGTGGCTGAAATAAGCCAATAGTCATGTTGGCTGAATTTCCCTACTACACCAGTGCAGCTCGCAGTGTCTTCTGAACCCAGGTGGCATCGCTTGCTTGGGGTGGGCAGCAGTGCAATAACCATGCTAGTCAAAGTAATTAGGGAAATCTGGCCCACATGTACACGGTGACTGCAACAACTACCGTGGCTTATTGCAGCTGCCATGATCATGCAAACCAGACCTCAGTCTTCCCTGGTCCATTCTTATTTATTTAGTTCACATGAACTAAATAGGCAAGGTACTATAGTGGGGTACAAGAACAACTTGTTGTGTGCATGGAGTTTATTTATTCCATTTCTGCTCCACCTGTCTTCCATAGAATTTCAAGGTGGTGTACAAAGACCTGAACAATCACTCATTAAGGCAGTAACCTTCGTATCTTCACTATTGTTGTTGCACCATTGTGCATTTAGACCATATCCTGGAGATGAGGAACAGGAAATGAAAGCAATTGTGATCTCTTTTAAAAGAAAATATTTAAGTTCTGGTCCATGTTCATAAGTTACTTGTGTATTCTTGTTTGTAATGTCTTTCTTAAGAGAGCACATCTATCCTAGATACATAAAATATATGTTTTAAAGCAATATGTGTGTGATATATTTAGTGAATCTGAACAGTTAGATCTTTTTAGAAGGAAAACTACTTATTACTTTCTCTCCCAAAGCTTATTGCAGGAAGCTGAGAGTAAATCTGAATTAAGTCAGAACATTTCTGCTCGAGAACACTTTGTGTTTACAGATACTGATGGACAAGTTTATCACTTGACAGTGGAGGGGAATACTGTCAAAGATAGCGCAAGAATTCCTCCTGATGTAAGTTTAGTGTTGAACATCTTTTGTGTACTGCCTTTCGCAGCTTTAAAAAAAGCTGACAGTGAAAGTACCTGTTATAATCCTCCTGAGCCAGCTACTGCTTTCCGCTCAATCTTAGACCATCTTGTTCTCTTTTTAATGTTTTTGTACTATTAAAATACCAAAAAGGAGATAAAATAGGGAAAGCCACCTTTCTATCTATCAGTATATATTTTTGTCAGTTAGTCTTCATCCTCCCCTTTTATCCATGGTGCCCATCCATGCATTGCATAAATCCACCTTTTACAACACAGTGACAGGAGACAGCCATGCAGAGTAAGTACATTGAAACCATAGATGGAATCACTCGCCCGTTGCTGTACATCTGGGGATTGCTTTGACTTTATGTTTTTTTCTGAACTTTATGACATCTCAGTAACCAGTGCCATTCTATGAAACTACATTTCTGGAGATGGAGTCAATTGTCATGCCTTTGGGATTTACCCAATCGCAACATGAAATGCCAGAATTCATAATACAGAATAAGTGTCATGATTACATGCTTATCACTAGATAGACTAGTATCTTTTGGTCAGTCCTGGGGTTTATGACTAAGTGAAGCCCCACTAATTTTAGCGAGTCTGCTTTAAATACGTGTAAGGCTTCTGATAGCAGTCTTAAGCTATGAATTTCAAACAATTGCTGAAGACAGTGAAATTGCACCACTTAGTAATGTTTTTGAAATCTGCTTCCTTTCTTTGCTTTCATGTTACAGTAGCAAGGCTAAGTAAGGCATTCTTTGAAACCCTAACATGTATGTGAAATGCTGACCTCCTGTGGCCAGATCAGTTTTAAAAAAGAAACCACTTTTCATTGCTGAAATGTTCTAAATAGTTGCTGTTGGCCATATTCCTGAAGCTGCTTATTTTGAGCCACGCCTACCACCTTTACCAAGCTTTTGGAATGTGTCATTTCTAGGTTTGCAGTGTTAGAGTCCAGTCCCTTTCAGATAAGAACTTTAAATTTCTTCATAAGTATTTTGAAAAAGAATGAAGACAACCATCAGTTGTCTTGATTTCCTTTACTTGAATACAGATCCAAAATTAATACCTTTCAGCTTTATTACTTGACCACTAAACAATTAGAAACTTGACAGAAAAGAAAATTGACATCTGTCTTCCTAAGTGTATGACTTTTTTTTGGGAAGACATGGAGTCATCCTTGTAGCAGCACAGCTCCTTGCCTATGGGCCTTTGCACCCTAAATGGCCTGTTTGACTTCTAGGTGCCACTACATTACATCACATTATTGCTGCACTAAAGTATTTGGCTCACCCTTCCCCGCCCCCTGCTTTTTTTTTTTTTTTTTTGCTTCACATAAGTGGGATGAAAGTGCCCCTGAAGATCTCTGTGATCTTGATATATTTGGGGAAATTCACATGTTATTTGAAGTGGGTTGTTCAGTAGCTCTGAGCTGCAGCCTACTCTAATCCTACTGACTAGCTGACTTTCCCATCTACCACTACCACATATCTTCCCGTTCTGCCTCTACTGTCAGTCATTCTTCCACTCACACAGTGATAGACAGCATTCACAAATAGATCAGCTGTTCAGAATCCACAGCCTGATAGTTTTAGTATATATCAGAGAGTGAATTGTGGACTGGACTGATAAGAATAATCATGGCAAAACTTCTCCTGTACTTTATGGGCCTTTGTGTCTTTGGGATTTAAGAACAGAATATAATCTGCTGCTAAAAGTACTGATGTACAGTTTAGCAAAACTGAACCTGCTTGAGCTTCTCTGTTATGTTACTGCCACTGATAGTAAAGGGAAAAGTTTGGTCATGTAACAGATCCATCTGTTTTATGCATGATATGGTCAGATACAGGTATGTGCACATGCACATGAGTTTGGGGAGTGTTCATGTTCTTCTGTTATCCAGTCACTTAACATTGCTGGATTCTTAAGTGCATTCACTTGACTCTAAGCCCAAAGTATCACCCCGTATCTTCATTGTGTGCTATATTGTCACTAAATGACTAGTTATCAGAGAATCACAGCCTATGGGAATGGTAAAGGTGTAGCTTTTCTATTTTGTCCCTCTCCCAGCATTATGTATGTGTTACCGAAGCAACAAGCTTTGTTGCATGCAACCCTTTTATTCGGGTATTACATTGCAAGAAAAGGTAATGGAAGTTGATTATTAGTTGATACTCAGTTTCTCTTTCCTAAGGCAAGCATGCAGTTTCTGTTTCACCATAAGGCACATTAATCTTTTTATTGACATCTGAGCTCCAGCGTTTGGATATATTTATTTTATATTGGGGATGGGATCATAGTTTACAGTACAGTACACGAGATATTGTGCTGTTTATGGTAAAGAAAATTCAGGCCTCCGAACTATCCTAGAATAAGTCACATTATAGCCATAAATATTTTCAATAAATTACTTTCTCTAGAAGACTTAATGGATTTCATTTATTCTTAATTTATTGTTTTGGGTTACAAGAAATGTAAACTGTAATGGACATAAGCAGGAAATTGCCGAGACTTAAAATTAACCACTGATTGTGAAAAATACTAGTATAGCTTTGGTCCTAAGATAAGTTAAGTGGCAATCTTAGGCATGTTTAAAAAGTAAGGAGAAGCTATAGGACTTTTTCTATCTAAACATGGATAGGATTTCACCCTTAAAGGCTTTTACTGAAGGAAAGTTTCCTGTTTCCTCCTCTTGCTCTCTTAAGTCCACTGTGCCCATCGGACAATGTTTCCGAAATGTCATGGAAACTTCTGAATAATGTGAGATGGGACATGGTGGCCTGCTATGGTAAGGAGGAGTTGCCATAAACTGAACAATTTGGGCTGTTTTTCAGACATAAGCATATTCATGTTCTAAACACTACTTATATCTGTTTTGTGCTACTTTAACCTTTGCTTTTGAAATCTTTACAGGGAAGCATGGGCAGTATTACATGTATTGCGTGGAAAGGAGATATATTGGTTCTTGGAGATGTTGATGGAAATTTGAACTTCTGGGACTTAAAAGCCAGAGTATCCAGGTAGTAGACTGAATAAAATTCCACTGAGCACCAATTCATATATGGCTCAGGTGGTGATATTGCCACTAAGATATTGCCAACTGGTATGTGCCTTGTTTGTTCAGTGGAATAAGTAACTTTGTATGGTACAGCAACATGATTTCATGTAATTGAAAACTGCCCAGGAAAACTGCAGAAAATTGTGTGTGTGTGCATGTGTGTGAGGGCGGTGGTGTTTGTATTTAGTCTTCAAATGCTTGTGGAGCAAAAGTTTGACAAGTGAAAGGAACTGCATTTGCAAATGTCTGAGTAAAAATGTCCTGGCATTTCTGAAAATTAGGCAGATTTCATGGGCAGCATTTTACAGAAACCATGCAGATGGGAAGTCAGTTCAGTTTGGACTTCTTGGTGGCAGCCACACTGCCCTCATCCTAGTCCATAGTATGTACTTGAAGCATTTTTTCTGTCTAAGTAAGTCAGACTGAAGTCTGTAAGAATGCTAATCATCTAATTTTGTATTTTAAGAAATACATGTCTTGAAAAATTGCCACATGTATAGTGTGGTCACGTAATCTGTCACAGTGCTGTTGCCTTAAGTGATATTTCACTGGTTTGTTATCTGATGATGATGCGCTGCATTGTCTTTAATAAGAGAGAAAAGATGGCCAGAGGGAGAGAGCTTTTCCTCAATGTCTTTTACTGTTCATTTCCACTTAGATGGCTGCTAGAATGTAGTTTTTCTGTCTGTGTCATATGACAACATAAACGCAGTCTTAACAAAACCCTGTGCTATTAATTTCTTTCCAGGGGTATCCCCACACACCGAGGATGGGTGAGGAAGATACGTTTTGCCCCTGGGAAGGGAAACCAAAAGCTGATAGCCATGTACAATGATGGGGCTGAAGTTTGGGATACAAAGGAGGTAAGTGTGTGTGTGTAATTTTTTGAATTTGTTCTAAATAAACAAGCAAATACAATACTTAACTGTGATTGCAGGCAGCATTTGGTGGTGGTGAGGACATACAGCTTTCATAAAGTGGTTTATACCCTTCCTGTCTCTTCCAGACTGCTGTCAATTGTTTAGTTGCTCATAGTCCAAATATATGAACCATTAAAATTGTGACTACACAGTATTATGTTTCATTAAGATTTTCAGGAAAAGGCACAAGGATGTCTTGATAGTTAAAAACATTTCTCAGTCCTTTCTTCTCAATGCTTAGGAAGGCTTCTGTCTACAGTTACTGAACTGTTGGTTGTCCAAGTTTTTAAATACGTGGCCTTTGCTTAATAGGCATATCACCACAGAGAGAATGTCTCCAGTGGTTCATATGGTACATATGGCTAGACCAAATGGAATAGTTAAGATTTGGAAAACAAATTCAGTCATATGGTAGACTGCTTTTAAATAAGTGATTAAATTCTGCTAGGAAGTCAGTGCGATGCATAAAAGTGTAATCCTGTGACCCTTAGATGACACCTGAGGAGTCATATGATGCTGGGGACTTCCTCCTCTAAATGTTCGCAACTGAATTATCAAAGTAAAGTCTGATAAATCAGTTGACCAGAGTAGTTTATTTTCATCAGGTAAAAATTAAATGCCAATATTTGGTAGGAAAAGTGCAAATACTCATATCTGAGAAATGATTGAATGCTTTTCAGCATATAGAAGCTTCCTTTTAACTCTGTGAACTTGCTAGGGAAGCATTAATTCTGCTTAAAGGCAAAGAATAGGGATAAATATTACATGTTGATGTAATATTTAAATATATTTAAGAGAATCCTAGCATTTACAGTTTTGAAAACAAGCATATATGCTTTAAACGAAATAAATCATCTATTTTTATCTTCCTTGCATACTTTCTAAATGGGAAGTCTGCCATGAAATCAAGAAATCAACCAGTAATACTGGTTTCAGTGAATGTGTGTGTGATGGCCTTTTGATTTTATTTTTAAATATTCAGAAAACAAAATAATATCAGCAGTATATGAAATAAATATTGACATTAGGCAAGAAGGGAAACACAGTGTGACTTTAACACTGAAATCCATATATTAGCAGCGTTTTAAATATAAAAGTTAACTTTAGAAGTTGGGCTCTAGTGAACAACTCCATCCAGGCACAGATATATATCATCATATTTTGATTTCAATATATTTCAATATATTGTGGTTAACAGTTGGAACATAGGCCTGGGACTCAGGTGACCTGCCTTCTAGTCCCCATTCAGCCATGAACTTCACTAGGTGACTTTGGACCAGTCACTTATCAGCCTAACTTGCAGGATTGTTGTGATAATAGACTGAACAGGATGAGGACTATATAGTCTTGGATTGCTCGCAAGAGAAAAAAAGATGGGATATAAATTTCATTATATATTTTATGCAAAACCCTCTAAGAGACCATAAACTTGTCCTACATGAATGTTCAAAAGCAGTAGATATATACATGGGAAGGAAGACATAATTTTTGAGTTCAGTAATCTTTGTATAGCTAAAATATGTTGTTTCTTTAAGGTACAAATGGTAAGCAGTTTAAGAAGTGGCAGAAACGTTAACTTCCGAGTACTTGACGTTGACTGGTGTACCTCAGATAAAGTGATCTTGGCATCAGATGATGGATGCATTAGAGTGCTAGAGATGACAATGAAATCAGCATGTTTTAGAATGGATGAGCAAGAACTGTCGGGTATGGAAAAAGATCTAACAATGCAGTTCATTTTATTCTTCAATTGCGTTATGTAACACTTGACATGGTATTAGCACCAGAGGTAAATGCAGTTTATCCAACAGGATTGTTCAGTCTTCATTGAATTAGACACAAGAACCTGAATAGTTTGATGTTTTTGTTATCCTGTACGGACCATTTTATGTGACAAGGAAACTCATTAATCCAGCCCCCAGAGAGTTGAGGATTAAAATTAGGGAAATGTAAGTGCCCAAATCAAAACCCAGGGATATTGCTAATATCATGTTTGGAGCATGAAGTTGTGAAAAGAGAGAAAACTTCCTTGCCAAACCCAAGTATATACCACAACCAGAACTGTATCACTGCACATTACGTTAGAGTCTACTTTTGTCTCTTTTATTTGCTGTTTAAGAACAACAAATAATTTAAAGATTAGTCTGTGAGTCAGGTGGTCTTAGTCCTGTCACTATCTTGCAGCCCTGAGATTGTTCTTGGGATTGCACTTCTGGGAAACCATAATGAAGACAATCTAGAACAAACTCTGGTTACATGTGTATAATTGTTTTATTACGACATGACGAGCCATGGTAGTTTGTTTACCATTGTTGGTCCGTTGTGTTGTCTGAACCCAGTCATAGTATTTCACCATAGTTTGGTGTTTAGAAACCACAATAAGAAACAATGGTTTGTTCTATGTTCCTTTGTACCACCATGGCCTGTTGTGTTTTCTGAACCCAGGATCATGGTTTCTATGATCTGGAAAGAGTAGCAACTGCAGGAGCATCTCCTCCCCATCTAGCATCTATGTACAGACCAATGTGGAAGAGGCAGGTGCCACAGGCAGGGAGTAGTGCACCTTGGGATTGAATTTCAGGCCTTATGGCTTGATGAGATACATGCCAACAGTGGGTGGATTGAACAGGAAACACCAATGAAGTAGAAACCACTTGATTGCCTGTCAGGTGATTCATGGTTTTAAAAAATGCACGACTCATGGTAACCATGTCATGTTGGGTGAATGCAGCCTGTAAGCAACATTCGCAGCAAACCTCAGTTGTCTCTATGCTTAGTTGTGATCCTTTCGTGCATTAACTCTGTAATTTTTTCCCCTCAACTTTTTGTTGCTAGAACCTGTGTGGTGCCCATACCTTCTTGTTCCAAGAGCTTCCTTAGCTTTAAAAGCATTCTTGTTACACCAACCTTGGAATAATAAATATTCTCTGGATATTTCAGACATGTAAGATTTTTAATATTGAAACTTTTGGTTTTATGAAATGGCAACATACAGATGAAGGGATTAGAGATGTGCAGATGAGTTACAGGATCCTACTGTAGGACAGAATAGGAAGGTAAAATGTGCTTGTATATAATGTACATGTGCATACTAGAGCATGAACTGACTTCTTTGGATCAGGAATAGTATGTTCAGGCACTTACTTTTAACTTCTGTGGTTATCATTGTGCAAAGTGCAAAAGACATTACCAAATACATAAATGTTATCTTCATGCTGGACTGTTTCAGTGATATATGAAATTACACTTGGAAAACGTAAAAATAGAGTACAAAGCAGCCAAGTAAATACAGTTTGGTTTGTTTGAGGTAGGGAGCCAACATGTGCTTTTAGAGTTCCCAAATTTGTTATTGCAGATTTCTTTGTGTTTCCTGTACATTTACATACACGGATCTGTACCTAGCAGTCCATGTAAAAAATAAATTCTTTCATGCATTGGTCTCTCTGTTTTCAAGGAATCCCCCCCCACCCCCGCCACAGTACTGATGGACAGGAGAAGGGATTGATTAGAGTGACTCCAGAATATCTTTGCAGCATCTGAGAACTATTCTAAGCTTGAGAGGGAGGCTACTTTTGCTCTTTTGATTGTTGAGGAAATCATAAAGCATGCAGCCTTCTTTTCCCCGTGCTATACTCTGGATCAGACTTGGGCTATTTGACTGCCAATATCTGTGTATTAAATTTTAATATAATTTGCTTTGCAGAAATTACCCAGAGAACGAAAATGTTAAAGTTCTGATGCAAGAACAGTTACATTCATTGTCCAAGTAAGCATATTTCAGTTGATGTTATACTACCAAAATATGTTAAAAATTTCCTTTGATTTGCTGCTATAATACCACCCAATAGGCATGTTGGGAGTCAACTATGTAGGTGATGGTCTTGAACATTGTTTTTTCAGCAAATACATCAGAGTGATTATTTTATACAAGTGTAGCAAGGATTCTTGGTTCTCATTATTAGATTTACATTTCACATTTGTGTTAGTACATCTGCCTACAGCCTTACTGATCTAGCAGCCAGATCAATATTAAGAACTGGCAAATCTTACAAAAGCAATAATATGATGACCTCTACCCTGATTAGCATGTCACACAAAGCTAGGATGAGCTGTCACCATGGGCAACTGCACAGTGGTTTAGCACACCATCCAAAGTCACCACAGCTTTAACATCATGAGTGGGTCTTAGCAAGCTACCCTGAGAACCCATGGCTTATAGTAGGCTATTTATGTTGGCTTGTTGTGATGCCCACACCTGGCAGAACCATTGTTTAAAATTGGGGAAAGAGCCACCAGCCAAGAGCATCAAAAAGCCCTGCCAGCTAGCTGCTACTCATCATCTAACTAGCGCCACCTCCATCTACCTTCCTCTGCTGTTGGTATTGCCAGTGTTGATCCCTTTACCGGCACCACACTTACGGGGGCAGGCAGTAAACAAACAACCAGTTGTTAAAAATTACACAAATTGATTTGTGCTTTTTCTGTTTCTTATTTTTCTTTGATCCTGCACATTAACAGCCCTGCTGCAAGACATGCTTTCCTATTTGATTCATATGCTTTGTTTATTGTTAAGTTGACAAAGCAGAAGTAATTTCTATATACTCCTGTGGAAGTTATATCCATAGCAAAAGCTCATCTCCCATTCACTGACGGCTCTTGGAGTTTAATGTCAGGGGAATCACCAAAGCGGAGGAGGAATTTGTTATGACAGGAGGAATTAGACATATCTAGACATGTAGAGGGCATATCAATATGCTTAGGTATCACACTAGGTACTGTCATACTAATATAGTGTAAATAATATAAGCAGTGTTCAACAGTATCAACTGTAATCTTTTGACTGTGCACACTTGTGAAGGACTGAAGGGGATAAAAAATCCTATTTCATTTGTGCAGTTTTAAAAGACTCAGAAAGATAACAATACCATGCTTATTTGTGAAAATTTAAAGTTCAGGCAAGAAAAGAGTTTTATCACTGTTGAAATGGTTCAGAAAATAGATAATGACTGGCAGCCGGTGCAAGAGGAGGACTCCATGGGAAATACAAGGCTCCGAGTTTTGGTGCTTTGCAACTTCTAGGTGCAGTGGGAGAGCCGTCTGCTAAGAGGAATATAATATATATATTATAATGATCCAAGAAGGATTCTGTTGCAGAGGCACCTGGTCTACATGCTGAGAGTAGACAGAAGGATGGGAAAGAAACCACACTAAGGTGCTGCACACCCAGGCATCTCTCAAGAATACTGTGGGTTGTTTAGCAAGCAAGCGACCCACAGAGGATCATTCTCTGGGGAGCTTGGAATGATGTGCAAATGCACTAGCTTTCATATTTTAGATATGTATTTGTTATCCTTTTGTTCTTGCTGTGATATACTGTCAAGTCATCTCTGATTACGGTAATCTTACGAATAAAAGCTCTCCAAAAGGTCCTGTCCATGAAAGCCCTAATTAGTTCTTGTAAATTCAAGGATGTGACTTGGCTTTACAGAATCAATCCCTTTCATATTTGGTGTTCCTTTTGCTTCTGTCTTTGACTTTACCTAGCCTGATTTCCTTGTCCATGGAGATTTGTTTTTTCATGATGTGCCCAAGGAGGACAGCCTCAGTTTTGTCATTTTGCTTCTAGGGATTGCTATCTTCTTACATTCAATAAAAAGTATGAAATTGGGTTCCTTTTCAGTAAATGCATCATTAAAAAAAATTGATGTCCAGATCTAAGGCATATAATGTATTTGAATATGCTGCATATCAAGGTGATTTTATCTTTTTGCAGTGACATCAAGAAACTTTTATTTGACCCGGAGTTCACCCTCTTGCAGCGATGTTTACTGGTTTCAAGGTAATAGAAATGTTTTAAAGTCAAAAGTGCTTTGAATTTATCTTACAAATAATTTTTATGTAGTTTTAAGTCTGAGCTTCTAACTGTTTCAGTTATTTATTTCTTGGATTAAGGTAATGTAATGAGCATGCACACAATTTCTCCAGTGGGATCAACTGCTGAAGAAATGAAAGATGCATGGGATGTCTTATTAGTAATGGAGGATGGAAAATTTTATGTTCCAAAAGATCATTAGCAAAAATGAATATACGCCAATTACAAATTCAGTGGCCAACGAGGCCATTGTGCAAATGGCTCCTTCCCACTGACTCCATTATGCAAGCAGGACAGGCTCCACTGCTGGTTAAATGGAGATTTAATGCTTCCTATTTGTAAGTTGCCCTGAAATGCCTGTCAGGGTTATTTCTAGATCAGGAGCAGTCAGCAGAACTCCCCTAAGCAAGCTTTGCTGACCTGCTGACACTTTCTGATTTGTTCAGGTTGCTCCTAGAAGCACTGCACAAACAGGTTTCACTGGTGAAACATAATGAGCAGGGGCACAGCATTCTGTTGGATACTGGCCAGGATTTGAAACAGTTTTAAAGTTTTTATATTTAGCAAGAATATGAGATAATATATAGAAGTCTTGGACTGAGATAGTATGGCTAAATCATGATAATAAATTTGAAGATGTCTCAGCAGTTCTAACAGAAGAGAGTTGAGACCTGTTGAAAAGGTTGGGTGGTTGTGAGCATATCATGCACAATTTTGGGATTTCTAAAATTACTGTGACAATTCCAGTAACTTTGTATCTTTTCTATTAAAAATTGTAAGAGAAATGTATGCTATTATCTTTGCATTTTTACTAGTACAAACATTTTTATATTGCATTTAAATCACATTAAGTGTGCTTTATTTTATCTCCTAAAATATCTGAGAAGTATAAGAATAGCACAACAATTCATACAGATTAGCATAGATTTTTTAGCATTGTTTGCTAAATGCAAGCAAAATAAACATGCTAAATTAGATTTATCCCGGGTAGAATGGGTAACTTGTATCCTTCTAGATGTTTTGCCCCCCCTGCTTAATGTCCTCTGGTGATTGGAGTTGTACCTGGAGGGTCACAAGTTCTCCATCTCTTTCTAGAGCATCAGAAGATTTTCTTATGCAAATAAGCATAAATAGTTTTTTTTCCAGAAAACCTACTTCATTGCTTGTTATAATAACTATTTTCTTTTATAGTTCTATTTTGTATTTGTGCAACGTTATGTGCAGCATCTGTTGTGAAATAAATCAGATAAAGCTATCCTATTCAGCTTCTAACTGCCTGTCAAATCAAGTCCTCCTCCCCAGTGCAAATTTGCACTTGTGCAAGATTTATGGAGTTGGTTCCCATTGCCTTAAGATATGAGGGACATCCCACTTTGACTACAGTATATGAGTAGTTCTTGATGTGCAGGAAAATTGTCCCATTTATTTTAAGTTCCAAGTGGGCTGTTTCACTTGTTTATCCTTTAGCCTTTTTTTCCTGTATGCATTTCAATAAAAATGGAAAAAAGAGAAAAAGATATATATAGCTAGCTGTAGTTAAATATAACTACATAGATTCAAATATATCAAGTATATGGCAGACCAAATATCTATGTGTATACCCAATCAGGAGTGGATCTGTATTGTATGCCATCTATTCAAATGTTTAAAGAGTCACCACGTTTTTAGTCACATTATATGAGGAAAACATTTATCCTTCCAGGGTCATAATATCAGTCTTTTAGCTGTTGAAAGGACACAGAAAATCCATTTACCTTAACTGCACATTTTATTTATTTATTTATTTATTTATTTATTTATTAAAACATTTTTATGCCACCCCATTCGCCGAAGCCTCAGGGCGGCTCACATCAATAAATTAAAATAATTATATAAATATAAATATAAAATTAAAATAAAAAATAAAATTAGCTTCAAAGAAGCAGATGAATAATTGAAAAGTACTTGTGCATCAGTAAATATCTTTAAACATGTTCTAATATGATGTTAGCTGTATCATAACTTTCTCCCAAGCAGACACAACTGCACTTTACCAGAACATATGATTAAAGGAAGCATTAGCAGTAATATATCTGCTACAGTTAATTGGCTTAAACAATCCCATATTAAATATACTTATTAGCATCCAACAGATATGAAATATGGGCTTCTGTTGAACAGGATGTAACCTGAGTTCCATTTAAAACTTTTATCTTTACATAAAATAGTTTAATGCAAGACACTTAGATATATTGTTCATATCCTGCCTTTTTTCAAGAGGAGGGGACAATCTCGGCAGTAAGTTTTCTAAAACTTTAGATTCTGTGAAACCATTAATTCAGAATTTTGCTTTTTTCAGGTTATATGGGGATGAATCTGAGCTGCATTTTTGGACAGTTGCTGCCCATTATTTGCATACTTTTTCCCAAGAAAAAGCATTAACAGTTAAAGCAGAAGGCAATATTTCTCAAGAAAACTGGATCAACCCACTAGATATATGCTATGATATACTGTGTGAAAACTCCTATTTCCAGGTATTGCAATGTTTTTAAACTAGCAGAAAAGGTCAAATCAGTAATGGTAGCGATTTCACTGTCACATCAAGTTTCTTTTCATTTAGGGGTTTTTGATGAACAGCAGGGATACTTCCTTTGTCACTCATGGACCTAATATGTGTACTGCTTGACACTGCTTATTTGCTTTGGGCATTGCAGTGGGAATTCTTTCACTGATAGAAGTGGGGATTTCTTCTTAATATTGCTAGTAATACAAAATAAACTGTCTCATAGCCTCACAGCCAATTACAATAGTGTGGCTTCAAAGAACTACTAAATTATTATCCTCAAAGGTTCTACCATAATTAATTTGAGGAAATTACAGAAACAAAAAAATTATACCAATCTTTCTGTCTTCAGATATATGAAGAACATAAAACTTCAGTGCTGTCTGGAGGCAAGTTGGCCTCCATTTCCCTTGCCAGAGCCCTAAAAGGAAACAACATAAATGTCTGTGATCAATAGTAGAATAAAATAGCAGAAATTTAGTGTTAACAGATAGTGGCTGTGTTCTTAACTGATTCATATTCTGTCACTACCCACAATTTCCTTAACTTGTTCTCCCTTCCCTTTAAATTGTATCAAAATTTTCATTTCCAGATGTTTTACCATCAGAATTTTAAACCCTTTCGTAGTGCAATGCTATGTACATCTACTGGGAAATAAATACCATGAAGTTCAAAGAGGTTTATTACTGGGTAAATGTCTATGGCATTTTTTTGCAAGTTTTACCTTTGAGTCTTCTCTCCCAGTTTCCCTTCCTTTCTTCAGACTAATTTACCCCTTGTTTATTCATATTGAGGATATGCTTGGGCTGACATGTCCATGCAGGGACCTTCCCATGTGAAAATGACTTGGCAAAGTTATGATAAATTTACATCATTGAAATATAATAGTAGGTCCATCCTCAGAGATGGACTTTGTCAATTTAATACAGGAATAGGACTCATTTTTCTTTTATGAATGATATTTTTCAGTTTCTTATATATTTACATATGATTCTCTGCAGAAATTCCAGCTTGAAAGAGTCAATCTCCAAGAAGTTAAAAGATCAAATTATGATCATACCAGGAAATGCACTGACCAGCTGCTCCTTTTGGGACAGGTTTGTGTTGCCAACGTAATCCAATTTATATTGCCAGTTTAGGCTTTGTAGATGTTCATTTGCTCAGTTTGGGGTAATGCAAGCCCTTTATTTTCAAATTAGACGGAAATTAACTCACATTGGCAATATTATTGCTGCAGCATTATTTCATTTTCCCTTCAAAGATAGGGAAAATGGATCTTACTCTGAGTGAATAAAATGCATTGAAAGTTATGTAACTGTATTTCTAGACTGATAGAGCTGTGCAGTTGCTTCTGGAGACAAGTGCTGAGAACCCCTACTATTACTGTGATTCACTAAAGGCATGTCTGGTCACAACGGTCACTTCCTCTGGTCCCTCCCAAAGTACCATCAAGTTGGTAGCAACCAATATGATTGCAAATGGAAAGCTAGCAGGTGAGATGTTCATTTCACAAAAGCCTCATTGAACTGAGTGTATTTTAGTGCTAGATGAACAGAGAAAGAACTGCTAGAAACATTTTCTTAGAAAAATTATGGTAGTGTCTATTAAAAATAGTATCCTGGCCTGTATATTTTAGGAAAGGGTTCTTTGGTTTTAAAAGTGTGTGCATATTTATTTAGGTGCCCGTACCCACTGGCCCTTGATGTGTAATGTGTAAAGAAGCATGACTCTAGATCTGAACTTAGTGCACAGCCACCACTGTCTTTCAGTATGTGATGTGATACATCCAGTTCCTATCACCAGCATCAGCATGTGTACCCCACCCTTTTTACCCTTACATGGATCCAAATCTTCTTACAAGGTTCTCATCCTTTCCAAAACGAAAACCTGATGACAGTGAAAAAAAGATTGAATTAGGTTAAGTTGAGAGTCTGTGAGTTGCCCAGAGTCATCCAGTCAGCTTCATGACTGAGTAGGGAGTAGACCCCAGATCTTTTGAGTCCTAGTCCAATATTTTGACCACCATGTCACATGGTCTTCAAATATATATCATCCAATATGAATAAGTAATGCTTTGTCACACTCAGTTTGGAACAGAGTCTGTGCCTGAGGTGTTCTAGCCCTGGTTTTAAGCCCATATAGACATTTGCAACATTTAAATCAGGGTGGTAGGAGAAGTGGGGCAAATAGAGATACTTACAAAACCCTGCACTATGAATCCTGCTTTAAAAGTGTATGTTATCCTTTGGGTGCGCTTTTGTTTTTGTGATGTCCTGTATACTAAAAAATAAATGCTTGGGATCACACTTAGTAATAGTATTTGGGTTGGAAGGAAGTTGAATTAAAAATGCTTTGCACTCAGCAGCTTGTCACTAATTAGGGTTTCTTTGACATCCTTAATTAGGAATGGGGCCTTGGTTGATTCTTGATGGTTTTAATTTGTGACTCGTGCATCTTATGTACAGTTTTTACTTTCTCTCCTAGAGGGTGTCCAGTTGCTCTGTTTAATAGATAAAGCTGCTGATGCTTGTCGTTACCTGCAAACCTACGGTGAATGGAATCGGGCAGCATGGCTTGCAAAAGTATGCAGTTTGCTCAGTCCTGTTTTCCTATATGAGCTGCTTCTTGTTATTAAATGATTATATTCATAGAACATGGCCAGTTAGGAAGTTAGAAAGATAAAATCTGGCAGTCTTTGTTCACATAAAGGTGGGGGTCAAACCTTTAGAATGCGTAATTCTTAGTTGAGGGAAATTCCTCACAAAAGCCTTTTTAAACACAGGTGACAATATTTGTTGAAGAAAAGATACTACTTTGAAAAGATGTTCAGTTTTAGGAAAATCCAGTTCTAGGAGATTATTATAAGGCAAGGGAAACCCATAAGGCAAAACAAACAAGCCTGCATAATGCTGGGAGAGAATATAAGCATTAAGTCCTAAGTGGATTTTGAACCAGAATAATTTACTCCAGCAACCAGCTTGATACGAAATTAAGTTCCAGGATTTGCAGGTCTAGGCCTGCATAAGATATTCACTCCCTCATAAGGTTGCCAGATAAGTCCTTATTGTGAGAAGCAAGAGAGAGATGCTTATCTAAGAGAAAATGCCTTACTACCCCTATCCACCATGTTTGTGTGGGTCCAAAAGCTGGTTGTCTGAGAGAGCATAGTAATTGTTCAGTCTCAAGCTTTTCATCAGGCTCCTTACTTGTAACTTCCACTGGTCTTCTTCCATAACCCAATCCTAGCCTACCATTATTCCTTGCTTCCAGATGCTGCTTTAGTCACATTTACATCTGACTTTGGATTTTTTTCATGCTAATTCTGACTTCTGAGTCCATAACTTTTGATAGTGCTCTCCCTTGCTTCCCTCTAGTTGACATCTTGTGCTTCAGTGCAACTCCTTCACTTTGGAGAATGTGTTTGAACACAAGCTGTGCTTCTGCAAAATAGTTTGCGTTTTTTGAACTGGAAATGTGATCATTAATTTGGAGCATCGTTCCAAAAATTGCATGTCACTTCCTCAATATCAAGCTGTAAAATATATATTTCCCCCATACTGCCAGATCTGGAGATTCTTCCTCATCATTTGCCAGACACTTAAAATTAAAAGCTTCATTTCAAGGAGAAAAGCAATTTTAAATATGTATCTATCATACATATGTAATACGTGTATTATGCATCTACTTTTGTTTCATAGTATGCTGGATTATAAATTTTGTTCAATTATTTCCGATCTTTGATAGGTTCGTTTGAATGCAGAGGAATGTGCTGATGTTCTGAAGCGTTGGGTTGATCACCTGTGTTCTCCACAAATCAATCAGAAGTCCAAGGCCATCCTTGTTCTCCTTTCCCTTGGTTGCTTCATGAGAGTTGCAGAGATGTTGCACAGGTCTATAGCAAGGCATTTTTCTTTGCTCTGGTCATCTGAAAAAATAAGCCACTTTTCTATATACATTGTAGATTCAGTGGTATATGTACGGCACTATCAATACAATTTTAAAACAAGCATAAACACAAATACAAGTAGAGTGATAGAATTCAGAAACATGCAGTTGAGAATAACGACAGTAATACCATTCTAAATAAAATGGTCTTGCTACCATTTGTCCATTCAAAACTGCATTTTCTGAGGGAATGAGGATGTTTTATTAAGAATATGAACTAGGGTCCAGTCCCATTCTTGCTTACCTGAGAGTATGCCTACTTGAAATTAGTGGGACTTGTGTTTCTGTTCTCATTTGGTGATAGCCACTTGATTAACCCTTGCCAGAGAGGTGGCATTGTTTTAGTCTTTTAACAGCAAAAACTCTCTTTTGGCAGCTTAAAGGCTAATTAATTGTGGCATAAGCTTTCATAAACTAGCCCACTGGAAGTGTTATTTGCAGTTGAAAAATACAGATGTACACACACATATATAAGATATGCAGAACAAAAAATTGTAGATGGTGGTCAAAACATGCAGTGAAGAGGTACAACATGTATTTCATGATAATGTATTTGCACTGAAAGGTAGTATTTTTACTTACTTTTGATGGACATTATTAGGAATTATTCCAAACTGAGAGTGAATAAGTAACCTTCTTTGAAGGTTTGGGTGAAAGGCATAAAAGCTGTTTCAAACATAGCATCCTAGCTTCATAGTATGTGAAAGTGTTTTAAACTGTTTTTTCAGTAGGCTAACAATTCATTATTTTCTTTAACAGCATGAGATACTTTGATAGGGCTGCCTTATTTGTTGAAGCCTGCCTCAAGTATGGCACAATTGATGTTAATGAAGATGCAAATATCCTTTTTTGAAATTATGTTCAGTGCCTTAATTAGTAACTAACAAAGTAGGAGAATCATTTGCTATTGCACACTGTATCTGTAAAGTGAGGCATCCAGTCTAGGGAAAAAAAGAAAATTTTCATTCTATGGAGGGAAATACAATTTTCCAATGAAGAAAATGAAACAGAAGCTTAAGTTTTTGATAAGGATCAATTACTTACATGGGAAGGAGCACAGCTCAGTGTTGGGCATTGTCATAACCAAGACCAAAGCATAGCTAGTACTTGCTTTAAGCATAACTTTCTCCATAACCTGTTCCACTCTAAGACTCTTGTTTGGAATGATAAAGCAGTCTGGCAACTGATTATTTCTGTTTACATCTATATTCCTTAACTCATGTTTTACAAAAATTAATCCATGCAGTATTTGCAGATTATGCCCGAAGCCTGAAGACTCTGGGGTTTAAGCAGGCTGCTACTTTGTTTGCTTCAAAAGCAGGAGCAGCTGGCAAAGATTTATTGAATGAACTTGAGCAACTGAAAGAAGGTCTTAAAGAGTGATAATTGCAAGGAAAGTGCTAAAAATTATGATTTCCCATCGGGTAGAGTCATTGTTGCAGTAATTCTTTAAAGACAATGAAGAGGCGTTTCTTTTCGGCAAAAAAAAAAAAAAAAAAAAAAGTAGCTTTGTCACAATAGAAATTATAAATGCAGAATGTCATATGTAACCAGTGTTTTTGTTGGTGGACATAATTTTGCAACTGTTAAACAATACCTCTATGTTTCTCTTTAAACAAAAATCAGACTTCGTATTTATAAAATTTTACAACTAAAGAAAAATGTATATTGATTATAAGGGGTCTTTGGTTACATGTGACAATAATAGAACCAGGGCCAGTCCGGCATTGTTGGCCCTGACAGGTGTTAACCCAGGATATGTTGTGATAATGCTGAAACAAAACTCTCAGATTACATGAAGCCACTTATCCTAAAAGTTGCATTAGTGTTCTCTATGGTACAGGGAACTGGTCCATATGTTTAGGATTGTACACTGCTTCACTGGCATTCCAGAGCATCATGCTGTCCTAAGCAGCCATTTGCCTGTGCTGTGGGTACTGGAACAGAGATGGTATTTCAAGTTTGAGTATGAATATTCGAAAAGGAGACACATTCTTCAAAATACTAAGCAACTTGGATGGAAATAAAAAAAAAATTCTCAGTCCTTGCTGCAAGTCCTGGACAGTACTCAGCTCAGTGTTAAACCTTCCAAAGAATGTACCTAAACCTTCGGTGCAAAGGAAAGGCACAATTCCTGAGTCTGTCTAACCATGTATGCAGAGTTTGGTAGGGTTGCTTTTAAACATGCTTTCTGTAAATTAGCCATGCTTCCTGCCCTTCTGACTAATAAAGAGCCTACTGTAAATTCACTTAAAATCAAATAGATTGGGTAGAGTTAGACTTACAGGGACTATAAAAAGAATTCTATAAAAGTTTTAGCTTATTTAGATCAGAATGCTTTCCAATCTTAGTCGGACAACATCAGGTATTAAACTGGTTCCTTGTGCTAGAGATGGGAAACCCCTGTCCACTTAAAAGCTAACTTTTGACTAGTTTTGTACAGTTCTTTTAGTGCCCAGGAGTTGAGTGACATCTTTCGATGACATTTCAAGGATGCAATTGAGCATGCTTTTCAGGAATAAGAATAACCCTGCTAGATCAGATCAAAGTCCTATTTAGTCTAGCAGTCTGTTTGCACTCAGGCCAACCAGATGATTCTGGGAAGCCCAAAGGCATATATTGGGGGCATTAGGTTTCTCTTTCTGCTTTTTTTGAGCAGCTGGTATTCAGGAGCAAGCCACTTCTCTTTCTGGAGGCACTATATAGCACATCATGGGTAGTAGGCATTGAAAACATTACCTTTATGAATTTGTTTTGTTTCCTCTTAAAGACATCCAAGTTGGTGATTGCACAAACAAAATTATCAGAATTGCTTGGCTTGTCTGGACTTCAGTTTACCTTGTATAGTGCTGCTCTCCCTGTACTGTTTGATACGAAACAGAGGTCAAGCTTATATCAGGAGTTTAACAGGTCTTTCTGGTATCAGCTTCTAAAACCAAATTCTGTATTCTTCCTCTTTTTCTGTGCATTATGCCCAGTGAATATGATAGCACACTTGATACATTCTGATGACAGTGTGGACTTGGAAAGAGAAAGCAATACTGTAGCTCCTGGGAGAATATCCCAGGGACCATAGGATGGTTTGGAGTCTTCCTCCCAAGTCTACAAACACTGTTGCAACCTTGGAAATGGGGCAGCTGAGTTCTGACCTCACAGCTGCTGCTTTCCAGGGTTGCAAATACAGCTTCAGATGTATCACCTGGGCATGTGAGAAGAGAAGCCAAGCTGTGGGTGTGGAGGTTTCTTGTTAAAGTATCTTTCTTCGTTGTGGCCTCTGTGCATCACACATATGGGTACTGCACCTGCGCAGTGCCTGTGGCCGGAAGATTGATAGCTCCACTCCCCTCCCCCCTGTGGCCTATAAAGAGCGGAGCGTCTGCCATTTTGTTCAGTCTTTGCGACCGCCGTTCACTGTGCCTCATGCCGCTTTCGACTTTCGCTTCAACTATTACCTCGTTCTCGAATTGTCCCTTATCCTAGTTTTTTCCTCTCCTTATTCCCAGCTTATTATTCTGTGTAGCTTTCTCTCGTTATTTCTTCTTTTGATCTATCAATATATATACACACACTTACCCTCTTCACTATCTCTCTTTTCTTCCTCTTCTTCTGCGATGGCGCAGCGAGCGGCTTTCCGCAAATGCGCGGATTGCGGGTCAAAAATGGCACCAACTGACCCGCATGACCTATGCCTCCTCTGCCTGGGAGCGGGGCATAGGACGGATAAATGCACGCATTGCCTGGTCTTCTCCAAGCAGGCCAGGAAGAACCGCGAAAACCGGCTTCGGAGGCTCCTTTGGGATCGGGCTCTGATGCAGTCAGACCTGCTCGTCGCCGTCCCAAACCTGGCTCTGCTTCTGTGGCCCCACCCTCACGGCCTTCGGACGAAGGTGCGTCTGCTTCGGTGGCCCCCTCTGCTTCACCTAAAAAGAAGCATGAAAAGCGGAAGCGTGCCGAAGAGAAGTCGGCAGGCCAGAAGAAGGCCAGAAAGGAGAAGGTATCCAAGCCTCCAAAAAAGTCTAAGACTTTGGACCGTCTGGACCATCCCGATATCGGAATTCGGAACCGATGGGACCCTTGGCACTGGTGGCGGTTACGATACTGACCCCGCCCAAAAGGGCCCTCCAGGAGGCTATTCAGGTTACCCCTCAAGGGTCTCCCCGCCTTTCGGTTGACCTCCCATCTGCACCCCTTCCAACTCTACGGGGTTCAATTTCCGATGGGGAAATCCAAGACTCCCCTCCTAGGGTGAGGTCACCGACACCCATGCCCGCGGTGACGATGGAAACGGACGTTGGCCTGTTCCCACCAGGGAGCCGGAGGAGCCGCTCGGTAGAGCAATGCCCAGAGAGTTGGCGTCGCCCTTACTACCATACTTGGGGCGATCCGCTCTCTGTAGGGTACTACCCTGCTCCCAGGGCACGATCATCTCCTCCACCCCGCGACCAACCGCAATCAGTGGATTCGAGGTGGGTGCCACCTCAATCCCCACAAAGTGGAAGCAGCCGCTCCTTCTCGCCGGCTGAGTCGTCATCTTCGGCCCCACCCTACTACGGTGCCAATTCGGCTGACTCGGAGGTCAACTCAACCTCCCCGGACGTCGCTGTGACATCCCGGGGTCCTGCGTCACCTGACGAGTCCCACGGCTCCTTCGCGGAGCTGATGTCGAGACTTGTCCAGTCCCTGGACATCGACGCTGTCCAGCACCCGGGACCGTCAACGGACAAGTTTTACGTCGTCGTCCACAGGGAGCAATCGACATCTATCGTTCTGCCGCTCATAACCACCTTGCGGCAGGCAATGACGCAGTCCTGGGACCTGCCATCACATCCTCAGCTGACGTCCAGGAGGTATGAGTCGATGTACAGGGTTCGGGAAGAGGATATTCCCTTCCTCCTCAAACACCCGAAACCGAACTCTGCGGTTGTCGAGTCCTCGCAGGGCAGAGGCGAGGGGACACGCAGCACCGAGAGATAAAGAGGGCCGAAAAATAGACTCCCTGGCCAGGCGAGTCTATGCTGCTTCGGGCTTGGGACTTCGCATATCAAATTATGAGGCGACGTTGGCGAGATATCAATATTTTATTATGCAGCGCCTCCACAACGTCGCCTCCGCCCTCCCAGACCGCCAGGGTGATCTCGTGAAGGTCCTGATCAAGGAAGCCATGCAGGTCGCGGTGAAGCAGTTATCCACGGCAAGGAACCACGTGGATACTGACTCCCGGGCCTTGGTCAGTGCCGTTTCCCTTCGGAGGCATGCATGGCTCCGGAATTGTAATTTCCCGGAAGAAACCAAGCGGCGGATAGAGGAAATGCCTTTCGATGGATCCGGGCTTTTCCATTCTCGAACTGACCATAAGCTCAAGAAGCTCCATGAATCGAGGATGATGGCACGCAGGATGGAGATCCAGTTTCGCACTAGACGTAAGTGGTCCTGGAATCGTCCATCCTACAGGCGATCCTACCAACCGAGACAGCAGCCTCAACACCGCCAGCAACAACAGCAGCAGCGCCGCCGTCCTCAGCCCCAACAGTGTTTTCAGCAGGGCCGCCGTCATTTTGACGATCGGAGGCAACGCTGACGGGACTGGCAAACCATTCCTCACACTCCTTCAGTACCCACCCCCCTCTCATTTGGGGATCGGCTTCGAAGCCGACTCCCCATTTGGGAGTCCATCACATCTGTGCAGTCACACAACCCACCCGCTGGCCCCGCTCGGTGTCGGTGAGTGGACGCATCGACAGCTCGGTGTTGATGCAAAAGGCATCTTCGGTACCGACCATCCCCCTTTTTTATGGTACCGACCAAAAAAAAAAAAAAAGATTTAAAATTACTAAGGTATCGTACGTTCGGTTGCAAAGACTGAACAAAATGGCGGACGCTCCGCTCTTTATAGGCCACAGCGGGGAGGGGAGCGGAGCTTCCCGCCAAAAACCGCTAGCTATCAATCTTCCAGCCACAGGCACTGCGCAGGCTCAGTACCCATATGTGTGACTGCACAGATGGCCACTCGAAGAACATCAGTTACAGGTAAGCAACCTGCTTTTCTTTCTGTCTAATTCTGTTGCTTTGGCAGCTTTTTCATTCAGTGTAAGTTGTTCATTATCAAAGCTATATTATGTTGTGTTTTCTGCATATGATGCTTCATTTTCTCCCAGAAATATCAGGAAGGTTTTATATACTCGGTATGCAGCATAACATTTTGTGTTCCTGAATTTGGGATCAGAACTGTTGGTTCAATTTTTAACCAGGTATTCCTGTTGGAAGGGAACACACAAGTATGTCCTTCTAATACTATGTAATGTCCATATTGTACATAAAGTGTATTGCTGTGACACAGTACGCTGTGACAAATTGCACTCATTAGTTCTTCAAGCAGGAAGAGGTTAATTCTACACATTCCTCATACTAGGGCAACATAAGCCATTCCATTGCAGTGGGCAAATTGGGGTCCTCCAAATCTTTTGGATGCCTCAAATCCCTAGTCATTGGCCATGCGGACAGGGACTGTTGGGAGTTGTAGATCAGAACATTGTAAGCCGCCCTGAGGCTTCGGCGAATGGGCGGCATAAAAATGTTTTAATAAATAAATAATAAATAAATAAACATCTAGGTACTACATTGCCTGCCCCATGTGCTGCAATAAACATTTTTACACAAGCAACCCATGTATGGTGAAAGTGAGCCTGAAATGAGCAACCATATAAAGATTTTCTCAAGTCAACCACAGGTCCAAACCAGGTAGGAAGATGTTTCAATAAAATGCTGACACTAAATACAAGATGGAGGCACATGAACATATTTGGTCTTTGGTATTTTAAGTTTGTCTATAATGTTTTCTTCATTGTGTTTTTGTGTCTGTGCAGCTACAACCTATCACATTCTAGGTCTTTATTATTTCCAGTATTACTTGCACTTAGAACATGGGACTATACTTCAAAGACTTGCAGTTATGCAGCTTTGTTCACTGGATTAAACTGATCAGTTATAAGTACACAGGATTAAGCTGAGAAGTTAATGGAGCAGCTGCAAACTGCTGCATTCCCTTACACAGTAAATCTTTAGAACAGCAAGGAAGTAATGAAAGATTTTACCAAAAGAACAAGTGACCTCTTGCAAGTTCTCATGTGGAAAATGTTCTTGTGCTCAAATTTTCAAATGCTTCTCTGGGAGCCAGATAATCGGTTTAGGATGAATTGTAATGTGCGTAGGTCTGAGAATTAATTTAACTGTCTTTTAAAAATCTCATCTGGGTCTGTATCATACAGATTGCTTCCTTGGAACAGTACAAGAGAGGATCTTTGAGTCTCCCTTGACATTTAATCAGACTGTGATTTCAAGAGCATTAGGACATACACTTCAGAACAGTCTTATCCTGATCTACAGTCTTCTTGAAACACTGGAGCCTTTGCAGTGTTTCAGAGGCTCTTGCAAGTAATAAGGCTGCCAGATACAGATACATAATGAACTTGTCTTCACTAACGTAGAAGTGCTGGCCGCCATCCTGACATCACCCTAGGCAACTATAGAATGTTCTTCACCTATGAGTAATAGTCCATTCATTTGTATGGCACCACTGACTAAAGGTAGAGAAATCGGTATGGGAACCATTTAATTTCAACAGAAGCAGCAAATCAGTGGGCACTTTTTTGCATATCCATGGTCCAAAGAAGCTAAGGGGAAGGTTTTTTCCTGCTCTCGTGCCCCCATTGGCTGCACACTCCCAAAGGCAATGTCTGATTGGTTCAGCTCGCTGCTCCTGAAACTTGGCAAAGGTGCTTGCTTGATGGGGCTGCATCCTTGACCAGCCATCCACCCCCACAGCACTTCCCTTTGATGCAGTGCAATGACCTGTCAGGATTCAGTTTAGGCCACTCTCCCAATCTGTACCCCACTCCTGAAGTTCATTCCTTAAGACCATTACTGCATTGAGGATCTGCTTTACTGAAATCAACAGGGCAGCCCACATCAGGAAAACCTGTGTCAGGAAAGCATGTGTTTTATATTTCTTTGGTTTGTGATGTTTTTCCTGGATCAGATTTGTAAAGCTGTCCAAGCTATCTCTTAATACAACCTGAAGAAAGAATGACTATATATGAATTATGCACTCATAAAATTAGTTAATAATACTTAAATATTCCTTCATCCATAGTACTATTTAGGAAGCATATACACCTGATTTTACTAATATGTTTCTAATCATTTGTTAGTGATTTTTCAAATTCCTTATTTTAAGCATACATGTGTTGTTGTTGTTTTTATGTTTGTCTTCCAGTGTTTTATACTTTCCATGCCTTTTTATGCCGCTAGCCGCCTTTCATTGCTATGAAAGA